CGCAGTCCCCGCCGGCGGCCCCGCCGAGGCAGCGGCAGAGGAGCCCTGCAAGCCGGCTCTGTGCCACAATCACAGCTTCGGTTGAGGTTTTCCTCTTCCCTGCCGACACCGGGCAGGTGAAGTGCTCGCAGTGCGGGTCACGCCTAACAGCTCGCCGGTTTTGCTCCTAAAATTCCCCGCTCACACACGTAAAGACATGCCGCTTGGCTTTTAGCCAGCGCTGGACGAACGCTATGTAAAAGGAGGTGAAAACATCTTTTCAGCAGCAAGATCATTTGCAGGAGGCAGAAAGGAAAACGGAGGAGGTTGCAGACCATCAGCTAGTTCCCGTTCGAGAGCTTTAAAGCCAAATGCACCAACAGGGTGGTTAGAAACTGGAGGGAAAGGGAAGGCAAGAGATAAGTAGCCCCGGCTCTCGCTGGTGATAAACGAAGGGGAAGAGCAAGCAGAGCGCATCGCCCCTTTGCCAGTCGCTCGATGAGAGACGCATCAAGACTGCTGGCGGCTCAAGCCCCGCCAGAGCCCAAGGCACTACACTGGAGGCATTCGAGAAGTGTGAAACTCGGCTTCCTGATTTATCAGCTGCTATCCCGAGGGGCAGGAGGTGAACCACCACAATAAAAAACTTTTACTGAGAACTGAATCTGTATCGGTAAGTACTGGTGGCTGTACAGCCGGGCATACAGAAGAGGAGCTCCCTCAGCAGAACAGATCTGCGCTTTTAGGAGTTTAGACATCCGGCCAAACTCTGAAATAGCCTGTTAAGTCAGAGCTAATTAGAAGAGGAGAGGAACGAACTAACGTAAGACTGAACATGCTTTCCCTGCTTCCAACAGTCTCAAACACATTTTAGCCAGCAGATTCAAGTGCTGGAGACCTCACTAAATGATGAATTTAAGGACGCACCATATCAACAGCCTTTTGCAAGGATGGCAGGGGGGGTGTTTCAGCAAACAACTCTTCCTCCCCGCAGCCCACCCGGGCAGCATGCCCTATGCCCCAGGCCCCCCGAGCAGGCTCCCCCTCCTTCCCCTGCGCCGATCCCTAACCCCGCAGACCACCGTCCCCCTCTCCCCCGCCCCGACCCATCTCGCCCTGCTGCCACAGCAAGCTAGCAGCACCCTGCTGCTGCTGCTGCTCTTTACGCTTTCCAGCACACACAGGGTGGGATTTAATGGAGGATGTCACCAGGGTGCCTGCAGCCCTCCAAGGAGAAAGGGGGGGGCTGCAAGGGGGAGAGCCAGGGCGGCAGCCTGCCAAGCTCTTGGCTTTAGCACGGGGACTGCAACGGCAGCAGTGCCTCCATCCCCGAGGCTGCCTCGATACAGCTTGGAGAAGGCAAAGCCCGCTCAGCTTCCAGGGGCTCAGCCCCTCCCCACCTTGGTACCTTCTGCACTTCCGCAATTAAAACTTTCCCTTGCTATTTTGATTTTTGTTGAGGCTGTTATTTCAGTGACAGCAGTATCACAGTAACTTGATTTAGGTGAGTAACCTAGCAAGTACAATTGATGAGCATGCTCTCTGCCAAAAGCATTAAACAAAGACCAGAACAATAATACAAAGTTATTATATTGCCTGAATGAAATTTTCTACTAGCCTTACTCAGGAATCTCCACCTACAGAAGAGCACACTTAACCACCGAGTAACAGAGTGCACGCACACACACGGAAGACGCAACCTGCAGTGTGTTTCCTCTTGTTTTGCAATACTTTCAGCATCGATTTTTTTTCTGAGCTGTTAAAAACAAAGTAACAGCAGGAGGAAGTGATCCATTCCTTAATTATATAGGTAAAAGAAAAAAATTTGGGAAACCGATGGAAGCCAGATGCTTACCGAAAAAAAAAAAAAAAAAAAAAGTGCTTTTTCTTGCATACAGTTAAAAAAACTAATACCATTTATTTATTTATTTTTAAGTTTGTCTTGCTTTTAGGGCAGGGTTGCTAGCACACATTTTCCATAGTCCTCTGATACCTTGCCACAGCCTAGAGGGAGCAAGCAGCCAGCCCCATGGGGAATTTCGCAGCCCCCCGCCTGCCCTCAAGAACCTGCATCAGCCGGGCACACATACCCCCCAGCCACTGCAGTAAGAAGTCACCCAGGCAAACTAGCTTCTCACAGTTTGGGGTTCTACAGCCAGCTTTTATGGATAAACCAGCCTGGCAGATCACGTGCTTTCCCGCTCCCCATCACCCTTCTGTCCTCCATCCTTGCTTTGCCTGGAAGCTGCAATATTGGCACCTCCCAGAGCTACAGCACCTTCAGGAAGCTGAACTTCTTGCTGCCTCTCACTCCTCCCCCACCTCCTTTCTGCATTTAAAACATAGCCTTAGACCTTTGCTTTCACTGGTTGATGTGGTACCCCATCAATGGAAAGGACTATCTCTTTAAGACAGTAACTTCGGTGACAGTTAACTATCTCCTGAAAAGCAAGTTCAACCATAACCAGTAACTTGCAGACCCCAAAACAAGCACGGAGAGCACCAGCCACGGCAGCTCCGTACCTGCAGAGCCTGAGGTCAGTGACTTTAACCAGCAACACCGCGAGCACACGAAGATTACGCTGCCCGCGCAGCTCTGCTGCAAGCTGCCGCGGCACAGAGACACGTACGCGCTTCAGAAAGCCATCTAAATTCGCTTACATCTGTCATTGTCATTTTGGTCAGGAATGGCATCTTCCAGAGCGACAGACTTTGGCTTCTTTTCACTGTTTCCTTTCAAGTTTTCCCAGTCTGCCTGGCTGAATCTGCAGACCTCTGAGTCTTTGGTAGCTGTTTGGCCTTCTCTCTCTTTCATCTCCAACTCTGAGAAGCGCATCATTGCACGCTAGAAAGAGAATTGATATGAAAAAAAAGTCTTGCGATAAAAGCTACTTCATTTACCTTACCTTATATGAAAGCATTTCCAAAGAAAAATCGGCTCAAAACCAAGGTTTGAGATAGGGTAGAAGTTTAACACACCTGACTTGTAAAACAGTGTTCTAGCATCTATATGCAAATAGCCACACAATTCTTTCATATATAAGTGTATATATATAAAAGATATATATAAACGTATACTGTATATAAAACAAAAACATTCCATTTTGGAGGTAAAAAGAGACAAAAACAAAAAGAAAAAAAAAACAACACAAAACCGTACAATGAATAAAGACGACCATGGCCCACAAACTTCCCTTTGTGTATTTGGAAATGAAATTTAACTCAAAGGTTTATGTAAGAGTCTAGTAATAAAAATTTGAAGAACTGACCTCACAGTAAGCAGCAGGTAGACATAAAATACTGTCCTCTTGTAATCCTTCCATCTATGTAATTAAAATGGGCACTCAATGGATCATTTAGATAATTTCATCCATTTTTATAAGCATAAACCAATTCTTTTCTTAACAATGCAAAACAATTTGGCTTAACTCATCCCTTCATTAAAAGTAAAATACCTTAAGGATATTCCTATACAGTATCTGTCTGTCATCCCTCAGCATCAACCTCAATACCGCTCCTACTCTTTCCTACGCGTTCGCTTGGCGCAAACGTTGCCTGAGACCCGCTAATACATGGCTGCGACTCCTCTCCATCAAACAGCACGTTTGGCATGCTAATCACAACTTCTGGGTACGCTTTGCTAGCTGGCACTACAGGCCAGCTGAGAAATTACAGCCATCGCTAGCGCCAAGGTAACATGCATGCCTGTCCGACTCCCCTCCATAACTGCACAAACATTTCATACGTACATTAACATTTTTATCACATCTTAGCAAAGCCCTTTAAAGCTTACTAGCGCGTACATACGTAAAAGCCATACATACTATTCTTTACATCGTCTCGCTCTCATTAACAAACTTACTTTGCTACTTAAAACCGTTTCTGGCGAGCACGTCCTAACAAAAAAATTTCTGATTTCCCCACCTGCGTTGCTTCTCTCAACTTTAATACTTGACTGCGACTTGCAACAGAGAAATAACGACAAAAAGCGCGGCGGTCGTTGGACCGCGCGGACTCACCTGCAACGCCCGCTGCTCCCGGCTGAGCTGGCTGGAGTCTGCGTACAGTTCGGTCGTCACACACTTGAATCGGTCACCTACGTAACCGGCAGAGTTTGCGATCCTCTTGGCCAACTTAGACGGCTTGGGTTTCAATATTTTGCCATCGGCAGATTCTGCGTCGTCGGCTCCGTCTTTGGTATAGGTCTGGTTGGCGTCGATGCTCGGCGGTGCGGTCCCCATGCAGAATGGCTTTGCGTCCTCCTGCACCTTGCCAAAAGCCAGAGCCGGAGCGTCGCTCTCGTGAGCGCTTTCCAAGAAAGCGGGCGAAGGCTGGACCGTCACTCTCTCTTTAGGCTGGCTCACAGATAAATCTTCTTTCCTTAAGCCGAAAACCGATGAACTCTGGGCTTGCTTGAAATTATAGCTTTCGTGAAGATCGTTATTTCTTCCAAACTCCTCTCTCATTACAATAAAATCTCTGTGCTGCGACGGCTGCTCTACCTTGTGCTTTGTAGGGTCATTAGCCTGATTACTGCTTTCCGTAGCAAAGCTGGCTTTCGTTACGTTTGCGTCGCTTTTAGCCTCTTGCTCGTCTCGCAGAAGATCCGGAAAGAGGTGTTTGTCACTTTTGGCCGAGTTTTTACCGTGGCCGGAGCTCTGGTGCAATTTCACGCTCTTGTCGCCGGGTACTTCGAAATGCATCTTCCCGCTGCTCTCCAGGAGCTCTGGCAACCGGCCCCGCAGAGCCGGGTCCTCGTAGCGGACCCTCTCGTGAGACCGCGACCTCCTTTCCGCCTTCTCCTCCTTATTGATCTCCAAAGCCGAATGCTGCAGCAGCATGGGGTGCACCATCCCCATCCCCAGCGCGTCCTGGTAGGTCATGAACCCCCCCCGCCCCGACGGCAGGCTGTAGGGGAGGCCGGGTTTGGGAGCCAGGTGGCCAGGGTAGAGGCTGCCGTTGGGCAGCAAGACAGGGTGCGGATACACGTGTCCTTTCCCATGGAGGGAGAGAGGGCTGATGGCTATCCCCTCCGGCACTGGGTACGGCAGGTAACTCCTGGGGTACGGCAGAGGCGGGGAGCGAAACGCCTCGTTGGGTGGCAGGAAGATGGGGCTGGAGGCCAGGGCGGTCTCGCTCGCCTTGAAGTTGGCTTCCTGGCTGCAGGATTTGGCCACCTTATTGCTGTGTTTTGCAGGGGTGGCGACAGGCTGCCCGACGTGCTGTATGACCGAGGCGGTGCTCTCTGCGGAGCCCCTGGCCGTCTTGGCGCAATCCACGTTGGCGTTGGGAGCCGGCGACGCCGACGCCGGCCGCC